ACACCTTTTGGAGTCTTTAATAACAACAAAGTGTTTAAAATAAAAGCTTTTTGTTTTGTTTAAATGAAATAAGCCAAAACAAGTTTAGTGCCAAAACCAAAACTTATTAAAGATTAATCAAACAGAAGTTGACAGAAAAAATAAATTTAACTGAAGCTAAAATGCAGCTCCATACCTGAAGGAGGCTATGATGCCTCATCTAGCAGTTCTGAACATTCACAATTTATATATACTGCCTGTATCTGTGTACAAGCCTTCCTACTGTATCTCAATGTATGTGGTATGTCATCACATAATATGCAAACAATGACTGCTGTACCAGAGTGGATACTTACAGCAGCTCCCTTGGCTCCATTCAGGCCATTATTACCAGGGTTACCCTGTGGACAGAGTGTACAAAAAATCATTCATTTTCATCATGCATCTTTAAATAGCTGAAAATGATAACAAATGTAATCTCAAGACAATTTACAAACAGGTTGAATTCAATTACACTTATATAAAAAGCCAATGAGGCCCAGATGTAATTCTAATCATTCCATCCCAAGACAGTACAATGTAGTTGTGCTTTCCCATTCAATACACTTTGTGTTCACATTATAATAATCTATATATAATTATAATTATAATAATCTTTATATAATATAATTATGATACTTTCTATTCACATTATAATAATCTAAAATTGTGGTTCCATCTTAATATTTTCACTAAGTGTTTCATTCCTCAAAAAGTTTAATGTGGTTAACATAATTTTGAAACATAATTCTCTTTTTTTTTAATATGCAGTTATATTTAAACCTATTAAGGTCATTATGGAGAATGGGAAGAAAAAAAATGGACGTAGTATAAGTAGTCAACTATTTTAAGGTAGAATTCTACATTTATTCTCTTCAAAACAAACATCCTTTTTATATTCAAGTCTATATCAATGACTTATAGTCATCTTCCGGACTAACACAGTTTCCTCTTTTTTTTTTTAAATATGCGAGTTGACCGTCTCTTTATCTACTTACAGGAGGACCAACTGGTCCAACAGCACCATTAGGTCCGGGCTCTCCTCTAGACCCCTGAGGTCCAGATGGGCCAGTGCTTCCAGCGGCTCCAATCTCTCCCTGTAAATGACAATGTTTAAATTATTTTTGCTTTTTCTGGTGATAAAGAGAAAACATTTAAACTTATTTAAAGATATGACCTTAAAAAAAACACAAAAACAAAAAATAAATATTTATAGTTGGAAAATACAACATTTGTGTCTTTTATTTGTAGCTATATTGTAAAGAAGAATCACCAATGTGTTTAAGGATTTGACTATACTGGCCTCTTTTTTTAATAACAAGTTATATATGCAATAGGCAGTGATGAGGCATGTACCTTGGGGCCGGGACCACCGGGGAAGCCTGGGGGACCGGCAGCACCGAGAGGACCCTGGATAAAAGAGCAGAAACAACCATGGTGTAAGGAAAACTCTCACATCAGCAATATCTCCTTTTTGGACCTGCTAGAAATGAAGAGTTTACTCACAGCTGGACCAGCAGGTCCGACATTGCCATCAGAACCACGAGCACCAGCGGGACCAGCAGGGCCGGGGCGACCCCTCTCACCAGGCTGACCGCGTTGTCCCTGAAAACCAAACACATCCAATGGCGTCACTGGAGCTGCTTTCTTTTATACGCCCTGCTGTCTTTTCATCACTAGTCAATTTGAACAAACAGATAGCTGATAAAAACACATCTAAGATAATGAAAATTATAGTAGTATCAGAAACTTACAGCAAGTCCAGGACTTCCAGAAGATCCAGGGGAACCAGACTCACCCTAAAGGAGAGGTAGAAAAAAACAGGTCATCTATATTAACATTTACCTGCTGAAGTAGATCAACATAAAAAACGAGGCAGGCTTATAAAAAGAAAAAAAAAAGAAAGGTGAAGAGGTTATCTGAACATTTTATGGTGGCTTACCTTGGGGCCAGCAGTGCCAGGTTCTCCTTTGCGTCCATCAATACCATTGTAACCCTATAATGCAGAAGAGCAGAAATGATAAGAGTCGTATACAAATAAAATTTAGATTAAAACATAACTAAAACCCTAATTCACCAGCTAGGATATTAAAAATGATCAACATCACCGAGGAGCTCTTGAAAAGAGATTAAATGAGAATTAATTTACTTTCCTCTCTGCTAATGGACTAAGTACAAGAAAAGACTCTATCAAATTCAGTTTATTAGGAAGTCTTTATTTCTGAATGCAGTCAGTATGAAAGGCACCAGCACTAAAATGTGTGGTTCTAGTTCCAGTTCCTGCAGAGAGGCCTAGACTAAGAAGGTCAACTAAGGGTACTCACTCTGTGTCCCTTCATTCCTGGAAGTCCTGGGGTTCCTGGGAATCCACGAGCGCCCTGCAATTCAGAAGCAAAGAAGAGTTATGAAGCTGTCAAAAGCGATGAATCTTCATTCAGAAGATTACATTACATCTCCATGTCTGGGTAAAGACCTCTTACCTGAGGGCCAGGGGTACCTCTGTCTCCGGGTTTGCCAGGCCTGCCGTTGTTTCCCTAGAAATCATCAGGAAATGCACCGTTTGATGTTTAAAGATGTAAAAAAAAACTACAGAGGCAACCTTAATAGATTAAGAAATAGTAAAGACAATGAGGACACAAACTCACATCTTCTCCAGATTTGCCAGGTGGTCCAGGGGGTCCACGGGGACCAACAGGGCCCTGGAAAATGGAAGCCAAGTATTTCAATTTTAAATATCATAACAGCAACTAAAACAAATGGTAGGATTTCAGGGAAATCGCCTTACGTCGTTTCCAGGCTGGCCAGGCTCACCAGGGTGTCCTGTCTGTCCTTGGGGTCCCTATTGAACAACAGATGCAGTATTAAGAAAAGGTCTAAACACGTTTTTCCCCATTGCTGTGCCTCAGTGGGCATCTCAACTTAATCTAACTTCATCATATGGGATTGATAAAAAGTTTTTGAATAGAAATTTTATTTCAAGGCAGATTTTGGACCTACCTGGGGTCCGGGCATTCCAGGGGAGCCTCTGGGTCCTGGTGGTCCCTGATAAAGAGAAATTAATTGTATATTAATTCCAACTCAACCTATATAAGGGATTCAGACAGACTTTTTGTTCATATATATTATGTTGAGAGAAAATAGGAGATAGGGGGATAGAGTGGGAAACTTACTGGGGGTCCAGGGCCAGGATCAGGGGCCTTGGCACCATCATACTGAGCAGCAAAGTTCTGTCGAGCAGTTGAAATAAAACAACAATTAACTCATTGTAATACATCTATAAACCAGTCAATACCACATAAAGGTTACTCTCATCCTTGTTATAGTAATTCAAACCTATATTAAAAATTTTACAAATTTACTAATTACAACAGTTTTTAGCTTTTGTAAACCTGATTTACATGCCATTTGCCAACCAGTGCCCTAATTGCACATATGTTGTCATTAGAGTAAAGGGGCAAAAGGTAAGATGTCAAAGACCAGGCATTTGTTTGCCATGCAGCTGAGATAAACCCACTTTTCCATGTCATAATAGTCATTACTTTCTTTAATTTTAAAGAAAACGTTTCTGGTATGATCTTCATAATCCTTGAGCGTAAAAGACAGACTTACTCCTCCAAGTCCAGGGGGGCCTGGGGGGCCAGGAGGGCCAGGGAGTCCGGGTTTGCCATCTCTTCCATTTGGGCCCTGAGGACCCTGGGAAAATGAAGACAACCCAAGTGATGACGTGTTACAGACCTATCACTGTAATTAGATGGGACTATTACAAGTTTTAAACTGCTGTAGTAAAATAGTTTGAAGTAAAGTCTGTTTAATAAAGTGGAGAAAATAAATGTGTCTGATGAGAATTTACATTAAGAATTTAATTAAGGCCTACAATTATAATGTGCCTTGTAAACAAAGGGGAGTGGCAAACTGAGGTTAACGGGTCAGACGGCACCAAGAAAACTCTTCATCAATGACACGTCATGAAGAAACTGTCTCATTGGATGCTGTATTTATGAATTCGCTTGACAGATTGAAGGGAACAGAATTTGAGTTCAGCTTACCCTGTCACCTCGAGGTCCTTTGGGACCCTGCAGCACAGAAATCACTTGATCAGACCACAACACAGATAAGATGGCTCAGTTTACAGCTTTAGCATGCAAGTATTCCTCTCACAAAGCAAACCAAAGCATTTGACATCAACGACTGATAGCAAAACCTTGAAACACTGAACATAAAATTGTGTCTGCAGGTTTGATCAATTGGTAGGGATAGACACATTCTAAAGAATATTGTAAATGATCTGATAAGAAAACTTGAAACTGCACATCTCTTTTCCATTTCAGTGTTTTATGGATCTGAAATTACACATTGAGACCCATTGATTCATCTTATACTATTTCATTACACTAACTACCATGTAATAAAGAAAGACAAACACATTTATGCATATTTAAGCAGGCTTTTGCCTTACTTTGTGAGAACCAGGGTGTCATAAACCCATGAAACATACAAACTAGAGAATAATAACACAATAAGGGTTGAATCACATAAAGCCTATATAGTATAATAAGTTGGCAATTATGATAATAGTATCTCATGCTAGGTTTGTTCACCATAGTGCAAACAAATAATAAGCAGCACAACAACTTATTTGCACCACAAAGAGGATGCCTATTAAACACAGTGCCAGGTGCACCTTGATATGCTGTGGTAATGCCAAACAAGAGTCCAAGCAATCTCAATCAAAATAGATTTAAGGAGATAATCACTTTTCTTTCTTTTCTCCTACTTGCAGGTGTGGGTTTTTTGCATCTATCTCAAATGAGAAGCAGAGCTAGACCCCAAACTGACCCAAAATCAGCAGATTGTGACAAACCTCCCTTTGGCCCCCTCTCTGCCGCCCTCAGAAAGGATCCTTTGTGCCAGGCTCTCACGGGTGCCTCAGCACCATGGTTTTAACTTTCACTGACACAGTCTAGAGCCAATGGGACCCTCATCCTACCATGGACAGGAAGAAGGGGAACAAGCTGAGAGAAATAGCTCAGTTAAGCCTAAATGAAATGCTCTGCCGTGATTGAGATTGCTCAGACTGGTCAACACTGGCTAACAGTAGCCTTCAAGTGATACGTCTAAAAGGACATGGAGGATGTGAGAGGAAAGACTTGACAAGGTAAAGCTGTCTTTAAGATACAGTATATTGTTTTGGTTCTGGCATGCATGCATACTAACCGACACTGTGGCATTGTAGAGATGATGATGTGGGCGAGGAGGAAGGGAAAGACGAGGGCAGGGGGAGAAAAGGGAATACTCTTGTTAGAACATTTCAAAACTTACACAGCAAGCAAGAAATCCTTAATTTAACCTCATTTTAATTCTGTGCTGTATTATCTGTTCAACAGAAAGCAGAAACATGATTTTCTAGGTGGAGATACTTAATTCTAGACATACTGATGATATATTAGACATAAAATGTAGCTTTCTTTGTTGCCTTCGGGATCGTTTTCTTTTCACTCATACCGTCTTCAAAAGATAAAACATATAAAGTAAATAATAAAACAATATTTGCTTCCTCATAACCTACATGCGGTCTAAAATGTCTCAGCCCAGTCTAAATTAGGAGCTGGAGGCCATGTGTGCTTTAACAAACTCAGTGAATCACTGTAACCACCGAGGTGCTCTAACTATGTAATGTATGTCTATGCTTGGGAAACTGCAGCATTCCAGATATGAAAGCTGCAGCTTAATAACAGGCCTGAACTGGCTGCCATATGCCCTCTGGACTGGAATATTTTGTCTGCCAGTAAAAACAAAGCAAGATGTAGGTAATTTCCTCTGACATTTGCAACTGTTCTTTGTAGCTCAGCTCTTTGAAAAAAAAAAAAAAAGAATTAATTAGTTTGGCATATTAATAGTTTTCTTCTCTGGTTTATTCACTTTGCAGGTGAGCATCAGCTCCTCCCTGGGTGGTTTGGAGGTAATGTCTGAGACTGGAACAGCTGGGACCTCCCTATGAACTCAGACATGTTATGTCCAATTTAATCCAGCAGGTGGCATACTAGAGCGCAATGTGAGACAGCCTTCTTCTTTTCCATTTTCATCATATAATGTAAAATATGCACCACATCTTAAAGTTAAGGGAATTGTTTTTGGTCTTTTTAATTTTTTTATTTGTTTTGTTTTTATGGATAATTTTCAGTTATTCAAATAGTGAATTATAAATAAATATAAGATATATTAACTAAAAATATAGATATATAGTTTCTATTCTAGTAATTCGATGCTTTATCTGCATTTCTCTTTCCTAAAATGTAGATTTTGGCTTAGTGGGGGGAAAAAAAGTCAAAATTGTGCCAAATTGGAGTTTGGCCCTATGACCACAAGGTGGCGACATTGCAACGTGAAAAACGCAAAAGTTGCCTTTCTTGGCCGGGTGAGTGGAACAATGTGTCCAACGCCCCACAAAAGCTTTTCATCCTGCTTCTCTAAAAAAAGACAGTGGAAAATACCGCATCTTTAGTTCAGCATGCAATATAACAGGGAAGGGGCGTTATTAGGAAGATCTCACCCATTTGAAATACTTTTTTTGTTTTGTTTTACTTATCCATTAAAGAAAAACAACTAATCATGTCCTATTGTATCCTTTGATAAAGTGAAGAATCCTCTGTCCGTTGAGTTAAGGTTGACCATCATCATGGAAGTCCCAAACAAAAACCAGTCGAAAACATCCTCAAGCAGCTGGGACCCAGGGAGGGGAAAAAAGCTTAGATCCATCACAGAGAAAGAGTAGACAATCAAAACTTACATTGGCATGTCGTTAGGTATAAAGTTACTGCAAGCAGCAACAGAATCCGAGTATCCACAAAGCTGAGCATGTCTAAGCAGACATGCAGACTCCTTGTGCCGCAGAGCCCCTGACTTTAAACCACCTTTAAGCAGGCATACAGTTGTGGTGACAAGAGTTACTCCAAACTTTGCAGATGCCTGCTGCCGTGATGCTAGAATAATAAAGATCTATCAGGCCTATTTATACGGCAGGAGGGTCCCTGGTCTGCGTGTCAAAAGTCGGCCCGTCAACCAATGAGAGAGGAGAAACCCAATCTGACTCCCATCCCTCTGCAGTTTGGAGGCAGTCATGTAGTCCTGCATCTCCCTGCCTTTTCCCCTCTCCAACAGAAAAGAGTTTGGCACAAGCTTTGGCGATGATGACGAGTGCAACGTTTTAATTAGATCCATTCTTTTTGAGGACGTGGACAGCGTCGAGGTTTATAAGGCAGAGGAAGGCCTAACTTTACTCTTTTCTTGCAGAGCGTCTGTGCGGCGACCAGGCCAGTGCGTAAAAGGGCAATGCGCGCTGATTTGTGCGTAAAATGCGCCAAAAACACGACGAGGGTTAGTGGGGATGTTTTACCACCAGGAAAAACTTAGTCAACCTCTTCTCGGATTCTTGTTATGCTTTATGTTGTTTTATTTTTTGGCGTTATCTGTTTAATTCTAGACCGGACGTTTGCGTCGTTACGCACGGAGTTGGAGTCTTATTTTCTAGTTGATTTAATTGACCAGAGATGTAAAGTGTTTTGCAACATTTTACCATTTATCTCAGGAATATTTAACCTTCAACAACAGAGCATTTTATATCAAGTCCCCTTAGACAAACTTGAGTTTTTCATGTTTGGAAGTTTAAATAATAATACCTTGAGAGAATCAATGCAGCTTTCTCTCTGTTATAACTCTGTCGGAGGATGCAGTGTCTCATGCACAATGCTGGGAGAAACTTCAGAGTAAATGCAGATGTGAAGAAGAACTACTTTCCCTCCTTCTTTTGCTCTCTCTTTGAGCAGCTCTTTCCTACCCACATGACCAGACATGTTATAGGCTTCACTACCACTCCAACAATATCCAGGGCCCCATCAAGCACTTTACAGCTAATTCCATGTCATAGACTGCTGAACAAGAATAATTATGTATATTTTGCAATTATGGCCCCTTTAAATAAAAAAAAAGCTCAGATGCTGTATGATTTGGTTACACTTTTTTGCATAGACACAGTTTTTGTAATTTAAAAGGTGAGGTAGTCTCTTGATTATTGTCGGTATTATCATCCCCTCCTACACCTAATGGAGAAGATTTTATTGCCTGAAACCTTCTTACTCAACCTAACATCAATTCAGCTCCAGAATGCTTTTCAAATTATACCATTGACTTCAAAGACGGCTTCTGTGCATCAATGTCTCCCAAACAAACGTCTCAGATTTACTTGTGAACATTATGGGAAGGTTTCAGACTTTGTCATACCGGTCACATTCCTCTAATAAAAACCTATATTTCTGTCATTGTATTGTATTCTGCCCCCAACCTTTGTACTCTAAACAAGGCAATTGAGGGAAAACCCTTTTGCAAGATTTTCGTTTGAAGTTTTTGCTTGAGTTAAACCTGAGAATTACATTGAAAAAAAAGAAGCAGAAGAAGAGGTGGAGCAAATGAGATGAAATGTGTTTTGAAGATGGCAAGGCTCCCAGTCGCTGCAGAGCTTTACTGAAGCCCTGAAGTGGGTGGAAGAGACCAGACAGACAGCCCAAGGAAATAAAGATGGCTGAAAAGTTCCACATCATCAGACTTTAGAGCTCTTTGCAGGATGAATACTGTACTACTTCACTCTTTTAGAGTATTTGAGATTTAAAACAAAAAATATAAACAGATTTGAGTGGCTGTGGGAAAAAAAAAACTCCAATAAATTAATGTAATGCTTTCGTTTTAGACCACAACAGGTTATATCATTTAACTTTTCACAATAAATAAACAATCCAACTTTTCCACTTTTATCTTTTACAGTCCTGCAAACTGAGCCTGCATACAGATCCTTTAATATTCACACTTTAAGCTTCATCCTCACTCACCTCTGTCTCGCTGTATGTCTCATAATTACGCTGTGAGATAGAGATGATGCAGCACACTTATTACATATCATGACTCTGATAAGGAACAGCAAACTTAAATCAGCAGGATTAGTCATCAGATCAAATTGAGGTAAAAAAAAATGTTTGATGTTATCTTGTCTGCCTGTGGCTTTGGAAAGATGGAATGTTATGTAGTCACACTTGAAACAAACTACTGTGTGGAGAGAAAAGTGATGGAGGAAGTAGAAGAAATATTTCCATCTGTACCTATAAAAAAAAAGAAAAAAACACATTCCTATTTGCTGAAGAGGAAAGACTATACTTTATTATACCACACTTTATTAGTGTGCTAGGTCAAAGACCATTCAAAATTAATTAAGTTTAGTTTTTAAATATATAACAACAGAAAATCTCAAATTAATATGCATTTTATTCACCTCCATCATCAGTAGACCACCTGAAAGACAAACTCTAACATTTCTTTACAAACTGCTACAGACCAGAAGGGCTGAACTGATAGCGTGAACATTAGATTTTGGTGAAAAAAAAGAAGAAGTCACAAATGGGTTTGGTTTAATCTAAATTACTAGATTGCAGCTTTTCAAGGTAGTTGCTCCAGCACAGAGGTTCCGAAAGTGGGCCCTCATAGAGGGCGGACTTAGACTTGGACAAACTTTACCATTTAATAAAGTGCAGCAGTGATCCAGAATGTAAACTTTAGGAGAAAAGGAAACCAGTCATGGTGCAAAAGGCATTGATATTGAAAGGTTCACTGCAGTGCAAAATAAATAAAAATGGTGCAAAATGCTGTAGAACATTAAAAGGGATTATATATATATAAAAAAGAAATCAGCAATGTCGATAGTGCAGATATGATGTTCACAAATGTAATGCAGAGTCTAGGTTACAGTTTTTCAACAGTGCTGGCCCTGCATTAGATTCTGCGAAGCATCTGCCCAGAGGGCAGCAGGGAGAACAGTCCATGGTGGGGGTGTGATGGGTCATTGATGATGTTACAGGCTCAGGACATGCAGTGCTGGGATGAAATGTCTTTTATGGAAGGAAGAGGAGCCCTGATGGTCCTCTCTGCTGTTCTCACCACTCTCCTCACTTTCTTCCAGTCTGAGGCGCTGCAGCCTCCACACCACACAGTGAGACAGCCGGTCAGAACGCTCTCTATGGTGCTTCTGTAGAAGGTGGTGAGGATGGGTGGGGGAGGGTGGGCTCTCTTCATCCTCCGCATGAAGTGCATGTGCATCTGTGCCCTTTTGACCAGTGAGGTGGTGTTTAGAGCTGAGGTGAGGGTGTCTGTGATGTGAAACCCCAGGAATTTGGTGCTGCTCACCACCTCTACAGCTGAGCTCTTGATGAGCAGTGGAACGTGGTTAGGCCAGTTCTTCCTGAAGTCAATAATAATCTCCTTCATCTTCTCCACATTCAGGATCAGGCTGTAATAAATGCCAAAGCAAATAACTTGGCAACCACCGCCTTAATGGAAGGTAAACCTCTAAAAGGTTTTCGTCAGGATTACCCTTCATTTAGCTCCATCCATCCTGTACTTGCAGAAGAAAGAAACACTTCCACTGCATGATTCTGGGGATGCATTATAAGTGCATTGTATAGCTTTTACTTTCTAAGGCGATCTTGTTTCTTTCCAGTTCATGATTATTCTTTCTGTTTACTGGTGTTTTCCAACAAACTACTGAAGTCTGTTGAATAACCACAAATATACCTTTCATTGTTTTATGTTCAAAGTGCACAGGTGGACTTGTCTGCTCCACTCATAGGAATCTGAAAGAGCTTAAGCTGTTATCTGCCTTCTGTGAGGTTCTCAAACTCATGTGCTGTTTAGACATAGGAAGGAAATATGACACAAAGTAAAGAAAAACAATATGGAGAGGAGGAAAGATTATTTCAAAGAAAATGTAGAGTATTTATATTGTGAGATAAAAAGTACCCTCTCTCCTAAAGGCACTAATTAAAAGGGGCACTGCATGTGCACACAGTGGCAGACATGCAGGGGCGGATGAGGTTTTTTAAATTACAGCCTATATTCCAGGCGCTTCTTTTAATTCAGTCTCCTTCATGAAAAGTCTAAAGAAGCCTTCTTCACAGGAGAGAAAGTGTAACGCTCTTTCTGTTTTATCATATCTTTTGATCGTTCAACAGATCC